GGGGGGGGCGGCCCCTTCTTCGGGACACCGAAGCGATCTGGCAACAGGTAAGTCGCCAGGATGGCTTCTGTTGTAAAGCCGACAGTCGGCTCTACAAGTTTAAACAGAGTCCCGGCGGCAAAAGTCGCCGGGAGTCTGTTTAAACAGCCCCGATGCTGGCGACGTACACTGTACGTCGTCAGTCACAAAGGGGTTAAGTCTGTGAGTGAGTAGGACATAATAGTGTTCCAGTTCTTATTCATAAGCAGAGAATGCAGATAATTGTGGGGCAGTGACCCTCTTCCTCTAGTGATGTAATAGGCCTAACAATAAAGTACAATAATTCATGAGGAGGTACTTTCCCAAAATGAAACATAGCAATTCCTAATTTGGCCAATTGTTTCACACAGTACACTACACATAGAAGTTCACCCCAGCAAACCCTGGCATACTCTGCTTCTAAAGAGATATGGTATTCCTGTTGCATGCTGTCCCACTCATGGATTTCATATCTTAGGAGACTGGAGGTTTCCATAAAGACCCCTCTACTAGTTCACTACCCACTGCACAGATTGCAACTGTCTGCACAGAGCTGGTTTGAATCTGCCGAATACCAAGCTGAGCTGAATTTTAGAAATTAGGATTTGTATATTTTTAAATATATATTAGATTTTAGGTAAGTATTTAAGCAGCTATCCCAGCTTTAGGAACGGAAACACAATTGTTATAGGATATATTTAAAGATCTAGGCAATGAGAATATTTTGCACTCTAAAGTGAATGTCCTGTGTTTAATAAAGGAGTTGCTCTTTCTATGTTGAACCTTCAACATGAGTTTTGCCTCGTGAATGGGGGTTAGGGGCTGGTTACTGTGAATCTGCTGGCTTAGAGTGGGGTATGACGTGCAGGAGACGCTCTTTGGCGGAGGTACCCAGTCGGGGTACCTGGGGTCCGTCACAGATTACATTGTCAATATTAAATCTGTATTGCCGCTTTAGGGTGGGGTTTATTCCCATCACAGTTTTCTGAATATCTGCCTCAAATCTTCCCAGTAATTGGGATCTCAAGAGCGAGAAACTGGAATATTACAGTATCTCAGACAAGAAAGCCGTGTAATCAATAAACAGACTCAAGCTGGGAAGCCGCACACAGTCTGCCAGCAAAGCCCTTTTGCACCTGTTGTCACAATCATTAATCATTTCCAGTAACAGCTAAGAAATAACCTCCAATGCTTCAAGAGCAATTTTCCTTGTACAACATGAACATGTGTTTGATAAATGTACTCACTTCTCCCTGTTGAATATGATGAATTCTTTCCTCACGGTATCTAAGCACCGCTGCAGATGTCCATTCTGGAAGAGAGAGGAGACAAGAGTTTGGCCATGACTCCAACTCCCCAATGTGCTTCTGGTGTTTGTGCTATTTTGTGCATTATTATACACCCCCTATAATAAGTCCTCATAGCACATCTTTTACAGTATAGCTTTATAAACAGAGCATTCTTACAGTAAAGTGTATAGTTTATACAGCTTGAAGACTGTACTTGTTGTTGCATACCTCCAAACCTTTTGGAATGAAAGAGAAACCTTTTAGTATAACGTATTTAGTCAAAGTACACAAAGCTGCCACACCACCAGGTACATGAACCACAAATAACTGTTATGGAAAAAATGATGAGTTGAACCCGCAAGTACTTTTTCACCTATTTCTTTAGGCTTTCCTTTTACCTTCCCACCAGCATAAGATATATATGTGTCACCAAGTCGGGTGGGCCTTACTGCCAGCTGTATGCATATATGCGTCATCGGGCCCTCTGCCCAGTGCTGAGAGTGCACTCACTGGCATGCTCCAAGGACAGTGACACATTCCGGTCACTGTTTATGATTAGGAGCCTTTCCCACCGGCTGAGAACTGTCTACTACAGCCAATCACAGCGAACACGATGGGGAAGCCCACCTACCATTGTTCAGAACCCCTTAAAAGCCCAAGGGGTAAAATAAAGGTGCTGGGTTCTCTAGCATGCTCATGTAATGTGTCTACAAGCAGGTTCTCAAGCAGGTTCTCAGTCTCCAACAACTCCTATAGCATGTCTGCAGTCTCAGACAGCTTTCTGTAGCATTGCATTCACTAAATATTATGTGTGGCCCTTTGGTGATGCCAGGGGCCTTACCTAAAGCCCACAATATCAAGTAAGTTGACCAGAACTGACATAGAGGTTGGGTGAAAGACTTAGTATAGTATAACAGAGTCAAAGAATACCAAAAGTGTTATACCCCATTTTGGCCGTGATGTAGTGTTGTGTTTGGGCTCGGAGCAAACCCAGTTTGCTGGAAGTCGCCCGAGCCTGCACTAAACGGTGATTGACACACCCCCTTCCAGCCCAATAATTTGCTGCAGAGCCATTCCTCGCCCCTTTGTGATGTATAGCTGCAAAGGTTGTACAGGTGTGGGTGAACTCCAGTGACCTGGGTTTGCACAAAGCCCCTACACATACACATTAGATATTTATAAAGATTTGAATATTTTATTGGAGTTTCCCGACTGAACCTCTTTGTAGCTATATTTCTTGTTATAATTTTTTTTCTTGTCCCTCTGTTAGCCCTGGTGACCATTGTCAGTGGTACAGAAAGTGATGAAGTCCAGAATATTTAAAATGTCACAGGAACAGGAGGTGAGGGGAAATCTGCCAATTGATCAGTGGCGTCACAAGGGGGGTGCGGCCCGCACCCGGGTGACACTATTGGAGGGGTGACACCAAAATGACTTAGAGTCATTTTGGTGTCACCCCCCTCTGAAAAGTCGGACGCTCGGTCATGGACCGAACGCCCGACATCATCAGGAGAGAGGAGGGGACCTGGCAGCATACCTTATCCCGCTGGGTGACTGTCCCCTCCTCTCTCTGCCGGCGTCCATCACCGAGATGGCTGCCGGCAGGTATCAGAATACTGCCGCGCGTGCGCGATGACGTCTCGGCGGGGTGACACTGGGTTACCGCTCCGGGTTTCACCCAGCCTCGGGACGCCCCTGCAATTGATAAGCCTGTTCTAGTGACAGTTGTCTAAGAGGTAATATGCCCTCACCTGATCTTCTTTTACTTCCTGTTGTGTCTCTAGCACAGGAAGTTAAGGAAAGTTTTTCCAATGGGAAATGTCAAAAACAAAAACCTGACAGAGGTCTTAATCATACCAGCCATCTGCGGCGTTAGCTGTTGACAATAGAAATACGTTTTTAGTAAACAAATTAACATTTAATATAGAGATTACAAAGGGGGCGCTCGGGCTTGTTTTAAAGGCTACGTTTACCTTTTTGACAGTTTCATGTTGCTACACCCATAAAAACATGGTCAGATCGCAATTGGGGTTCTTCTCCCCGCAGGCTTGTGTACATATTTAAATATTGACCTGGAGAGACAACAAGCCCCAGGAGCCACCACAGCAGATGTTCTCAATGGAATACAAGCGCAGTGATGTCACTGCGCTCCTAGTCCATCCATTCTTTCTCCCGCCCATGTTACTGAATGTCCATACTGAGGTAGAGACATGGATAGGAGGAAGAGTACGCAGGAACCAGGGCATTGGATGCATGATCCACTGATCGCAGTTGCAATGGCTCTTAGGTGAAAATTCCCTTTACCCCGCATTCACATCTGCGTGTTCTGTAAACGCACATCATGTTCATGCACGCTCATGCATGATCCTGCGCTGCATTTTCTGCACGTCCCCATTGCGTTTACAGGGACCTGTGCGGAATGTGCGACAAATGCAGTAAAAAAGCTCATGTAGCAGATTTAGCAACACGCGTTTGTGTGCGTTTTATTATGCGCAAACGTGAAGCAAAATCTTACTGGCCACTTTTGGGGTGGCATTAAAAATTATTGGCAACGCAAAAGAGTTGCACGTGTTTTCTCTGTCATCGCCTTTTATGCGCTTTTGGCGCGTTTTTACGGAACGGGCAGGTAAGAAAGGGGTTTTAGTTTCTATAAAGTCATACTAAGGGAATGTTCTGTGGCCATATTAGATATAAACAGTGGTTAATGGACCTTATCTCTAAGTACGCACTGTGTATAGCCCAGTAAACTACCGTATACTTTGTTTCTGCAGATATCTTCTCGGATCATTTCCATTTCCTGCAATTAACACTGCAATGTACAACATTTCTTGGGACTCCCCGGCAAAAGTAAATGACGTTTGCTGCCGTATTAGCATTCCTCTCCCATTACTGAAGTGGTAATAATAACAATCATTATTTAAATGTTAATGTCTTCAGTGAATATTATAGAAAATCATAAAATGCTGCAACAGCCCGCACTACACACACAGATCAAATACAATTCTGTTGCTCGGAGCGTGCTCTGCCTACCCTGATTTCTGAGCAGAGGATTCGTGGCCACGGGCATTGCAGTGCAAATGATGTAGAAAATAGTTGCTCTTGTATAAAATTAGCAGCCGTGAGCTTTGAGTTTGGATAATGTTCATTTCCATGGACAGACTGTATACAGCCTGTGGCACTGCATGTTGATTAGTGAATACACCAATGCCCGGAGTCTTAAATACATTTTACATGAACTCATCTCTGAAACATTCATTTTATCCAAATTACAAAATGACTAATGTGTCTCAGCTGTAATTAAAGTGTACCTAAGCCCCAAAAGAGAAATGTAATATATTGCAGCTTAGCAATGCTGAGGTGCGGTGGCTGCATTAGTTTTATGTTTTGTAAGTTTATTTTTCTTTGTTTTACCTTGTAATCTGATCAGTAACACACTCCCTGTCCTAGGGTGGCTATGCTCACTCCTCCACTGTATCTATGCAGGAGTAACGTAACCATCCTTGGACAGCAGCATTGTCACCCTGTGTGGTTTATCTTAACCCTCTATCTGCCACATCTGAAGGACAGCTTGGCCTGTTCAATGTAGTTGAAAAACAGTCCATTGAGCTGACTTACAAAAACTGGAGCAAAGAGAACTACAGACAATGGGGTCTATTCACGAAGCTGCCGAAGGATCTAGCCGTAGCTTCGGCCGATCCTTCGGCTAGCTTCGGCCCCAGGACCCCTTCGGTTCAACAGAACCGAAGGGGTGCTGTACGGGCTATTCACTATAGCCCGTACAGCTCCCATACAGCTCCCGAACGCATATGCATCGGCTCGGCTGAGACGTGCTGAAAGCCGAAGCTGGCCGAGCGGCCGGCCGTTTTCTATTCTGACACACGGAGCTGTATCAGAATAGAAAAAAAAACAAAAAACGTTTTTGCCCATTGGAATGCATTGCTAGATTCCTATTGGTTATTTCAATTTGCAATAGCCAATAGTAAACTAGCATTGTACCCGCCCCCTGCTGCAGTTTTCCATCCAGTCCATCAGCAGAGGGCGGGTACAATGCTAGTTTACTATTGGCTATTGCAAATTGAAATAGCCAATAGTAATGTAGCAATGCATTTCAATAGGATTTTTTTTTTTTCTGACATCGCTCGTGTCAGAATAAAGAAAAAATAAATTTGAAATCAGCCGTACCAGCTTGAAGTGAATAGCCGAACAGTGTGCGGCTCACTTCACTTCAGGTCGGTCATTCACTCGGCTGCCTACGGCAACTTAGTGAATAGACCCCAATGTTTCATGATTCCGCTTTTTAAGGCGTTGTAAAGTCCCAGCATAGACTATCCTGTTATACAATCAGCATTGTATTAGGAATATACATACTTGAGGTGTTTTTGATAATACAATCAAAGCTTATTTAAAAAAATCCCTTTTATGTAGTGAGTGATGCCTTCTGTCTGCCCATCACTTTCACCAACTTCCTGGATTCCCAGTGTGCTTTGCATCTCTTTCCCTGTTGCTTAATGTGATGTAGTCTCAATTTTTCAAGACTACATATCCCATCATGCATTGCTTCCAGCAAGCAATGATAATGTTACATTAGGAAGGATGGCATCGGCACCAATTCAGAGATGATTTGAGGATCTACAGCTGAGTGATACACAAATAAGATACATTGTTGCTAATAGTTTGGGTACTTGAATGTATTTTTAAGATTTAAAAGAGAACTATGACCTAACCTTTTTTGCCCATAGTTCTCTTCGGGGCCACAGGAGGATCTATACTAATGTCATCCGGTGACCCAAAACTCAGTATATAGCTCTATGCTGAGAACGCATAGCTGTGCCGCAGCCAGGATGGATCCCAACAATACTGCCGAGACCCACCCTGCTGGCTTATTGACAGCTGGCTCTGCCTATCTAGAGGAAGAGCCAGCTGTGCTTGCCCCCTCCCCTGTTCGTTCCCTGGACAGTGCTGGAGCGGGGAGGGGGGAATCCCTACGTGGAGCAGTGACTGTCTGGGAGAGGATTGGGAGGTCAGCGATCGGTGGTATGTGTTTGCTGACTTCCCGATCAATAGAGCCGACCTTTTACAGTGTCACAGGTCGGCTTGAATTATGGGGATAATTCTCCTTTATCTCCTGAGTTTAGTGTCACTTTAAACTGAAATGTATAAAATCTGATAATGAAATGTAAGGTATCCCTATAAAATCATAAGCATCAGTTTGAAAGCCAGGCAGTTAGCATTTTCAGAAGCAGAGCTCGGTAGTGATATCACTGTATATTTATTCCCATGACAGGTTTTACTTTAAAACGGGCATTCTCCCTGTGGATTGTAAGCCCTCAGGGGCAGGACCCTCCTTACCATCTTGTCTTGAATTGTATTGTAATTGTAATGTCTTCCTTATATTGTAAAGCGCTGCACAAACTGTTGGCGCTATATGAATCCTGTATAATAATAATTCCTGCTGCATGGACAGCCACAGCCTAGTAATCGGGTTACTGCCTTATCATATACTGTAAAGTCCATGATGCCTATAGGTTGTAAAACATCAATAAAACAATCATTTATGATGTAGAATGTTTCACAAAATCTATAATACCGTGGTTTCATTGATTAGAGATGTATGAACTGATACATGAATGTGGCAGATCATGATTAACTAAATGAATCCGTTTTGTTTAATTCACCTGCAATTGTGCATGCAGATTTAGGGGTCTATTCACGAAGCAGCTGAAGGATCTAGCCGTAGCTTCGACCTATCCTTCGGCTACCTTCGGCCCCAGGACCCCTTCGTTTCAGTAGAACCGAAGGGCTGCTATACGGGCTATTCACTATTGCCCGTACAGCTCCCGAACTTGGCCGAGCGGCTCAGTCGAGCCGAAGGCATATGCTTGGGAGGTTGTGAGATGAGCTACACTTAATTCAGGTGCTGTTCTGTCTCCTGTGAAAAGTTTTTGCGGTCTGGTGGTTCTAAGAGAGGACGAGGAATGTGGTTCTAAGAGGATTAGAAATTCTGGGGAGAAGTCACATTATTAATTTGAGTGTGATATGACCATTTGATGGTCCAACAAATCCGGTGAGCGCGGTCTATGTTGGTTGGCTTGCACAGAGACAAGTGAAAGGGATCATCTGAAGATAACTTATTTATATTTTACACAAGACTTCTGTATGATATTAATCACTAAATGTATTTATGAACTTCATCTTTATATAATTCTATATACTGACTATTCCACATTGACAGTGGTTTATATATATATGATATGATATATGTTATATATAAAATTGGTACGCAGTAAGCTGACCCCAGAACAGGCGCTTACACAGAATGGCACATAAGTTCCGCCCGATGCTGTTCATATGGCACTAGCGCCCCTAGCTGCCGTTAACGAGTATAGAAATTTCCTACACTCATGACTCATCAGTGCCATCTAGGGACGCTGGTGCCATGTGAATGGCGTCTGTCCGGCGTATAACTTTTATAAAGTTAGATAGATGTCATGCTGTTTCACAATCTCAGTTGAATAGATTCATTTTTCAGCAGAGAGCATCACGTTCATCCAAGTCAGCGTGTCATAGTGAGTAGAATGTCATACAAAATGTGTCTGAAAAGTGATATAATGACTGCAATAGAAAATGTCACAATCACTATAAGAAATGGTTTAGAATGTTCTCAGTGAATTGCTGTATTATCATGTTGAGTTTGATGGAATAGTTTGCAATGGTTATAGTAAAATGTGATGAACCAAATATCCTTGGCAGATTTTTTTCAGAAAAACTAGAGTAAAAATGTTTTTGGTATTTGGCATATCTGTTTGATAAGTGTGTATAAATACCTTCTGGTCATGTCAGAAATTTATAGCTGTCCTATGTCTTGTGCTCACTTCCAATGTTATCTCAGGAAGTGTAATTAGATCCCCTAGTTCTTAGTTCTAATTAGATGAATTTGCCTTCAGGTTGTAGAGATCTTAGAGTGGGGAATTTCAGTAGTTTAGCAAAATAAACTGGTCAGGGCTGACACTGTGTGTTGTCAGACTATAGCAGGACTCAGGAGCTGAGTGCATTTCTGGCAGATCAACAGGTATTTTTCTGTTCTTGCAAATGATCAAAAATGTTTAAATGTGCACGTCTCTTTTATTTTTGCCCTTACATTAAATTTAAAACCTATCTCTGGGTAATAAAAAAATGCCCTTGCAGCGGGGCTACCTCTGCACTGCAAGGGTTAAGTGACCATTTTTGTATAGGGGTGGAGTAAAGCAGATTTACTTACCTGTTCACTGCTCCCACCGGCTCCCTCTGTGCTACTAGACCTGTCCCCACAGCCTCTTCTTCACAGGGCTCTGGTGGTCTCAGGACTGCTGATTTCATAAGCCTGCATTAGATGTAAGCATGCTGAGGGATATTCTAAATGCCGGAGCAGAGGACAAGAAGACATGAGCTCCAACCGTTGCATGAGCGGGGATCAGGTAAGTAACTCTGCTTTACTCCAGCCCCTAGACAAAAACAAGAACTTGCAGTGTGGGGGTAGTTCCACTCCACGGGTACTTTTTTCTTTGGCTGGAGATGGGATTTAAATAATAGAAATAGAAAATCAGCTATATAGACATTGTGCTAAAAAAAACTCTATTTTCAGTCTTATCTCCACTTTGCTGCTACAGCAGTCGTGCGAGGCCTCCGCACATATGCAGTCCAACAGGCACCAGAGTTTGACTGATCTGTCCAGTCAACTCCCTAATTATAAATTACACTAAACTCAGGAATTTAACCATAAACATTAATTCATGTGCCCTAACTATTAATAAAAAAAAATTGCTTATTCATGCATTATTCATTTGTAGATCCTCAAATCATCTCTGAATTGCTGGTGACGCTGTCCTTCCTTCTGGAGGGGGGCTACTTTTGTTCCTCATGGTCCCTGTGTGTGTTGTAAAGTAGTCACCACTTCAAGCTTAGTTCTGTGATAGTAAACTAAACATGAGATTGTAGTATAAGTTATACTGAAGTTATAGTCCATTACGGGAGCGAGCTTGGAGTGGTGACTACTTTACAACACACACAGGGACCATGAGGAACAAAGTAGCCACCCCCCAGAAGGAAGGACAGCGTCACCAGCAATTCTGACATGATTTGAGGATCTACAGCCGAGTGATACACAAATAAGATACATTTTTGTTATTAGTTAAAGGAGAACTATGAGGTGAGTGCTTTTCACTCACCTCATAGTTCTAGCCGACCTGTGACAATGAGACTGTCACAGGTCGGCTCAGTAGATCGGGACGTGAGCGAACACATACCGGCGTTTGCTCACCTCTCGATCCTGTCACGGCTCTCTGTCGTGACAGGGGAGGGGCTAGATTCCCCCCTCCCCGCTCCGATCCGCCAGTGCTGACTGGTGGAACGGATGGGGGAGGGGGCGGGTACAGCTGGCTCTGCCTCCCGTTACCCTAAGGAGAACTATGGGGAAAAGCCTTAACCCCATAGTTCTCCTTTAAGGTACTTGAATGTATTTTTAAGATGTAACTCCTGGTCTTGTCAGATCGATGTGGCCATTCATCTTCAATACCAGCATAGAGCACTGGAATGGATTTCCACTCTACATATTAAGGCATTTCCAAGTAAAAGTCAGATAAAATGAATACACACAGCAGATCGGGACTGAAAAGAGAAAAAAGGATTGGGACTTCAGGTTCAGTTTTTTAGTCTTTGAAACTACTTACCAGTGCACAGCTTTCCTTGGCTGCCTCTCTGGATTTGTACTTGGCTAATCTCTTTTTCTTCTTATGGAGAGGTTTAGACTCCAGGATCATCTCTTCGAGCTCAAAAGTTGGGTCACAGTTCAGTCTTCCTTTCTGAGGAAAACAAAGATGGGAATATTAAAGCAGACCTTCAGGCAATTATACTAAAAACACCACTAAATCCAGTTATGTGTTCATTAAAATCAATAATAATCCCCCGTAATTCCCGGCACAGGGAGACGGAGGGGTAGCAGTCTTAGCCAGGCTGGCTATGACAACCTGGCAACCAGCGACTCAGTCCAAGGTGAAAACTTGTTTCCTTTGAAGCTGAAGTTTAATGTGCTTATACAGTATGTTGCCTTTCCTTTCTTCTCTCTCTTCCCCCTCATCACCACCATGCTAATTACATTTTTAAATAAAACTTTTCTGTTTTCATTACCTTATTTTAGAACAAGTGATGTTTTCACTGGGTCTCTACTTCTTCATGCAATGCAGGAAGATCATGGCTGATACGAGGGGCCAGCAGGGTGCTGTGCATGATTCTTCCTGAAAACATCACAGCACCTTCTCTCAGTACTCCTCTCAAGCACCCCCAGCCATGATGAAAGCAGTGAGCTTACTCTTGGGATAAGTCATCCAAATATAAATCTGCCTTTATGGGTGGGTTCCAGTCTGGAGGAGTGGGAACTGCATCTACATGCAGGCTACCCTACGTAATGTCCATGCTGAGCATCCATGACTGAAATAACTTAAATCCAATTATTGAAATGGATGGGCCAGGGACAGTCAGGCTGGATTCCCTACAGCCAGAAGGCACCACTCTAATCCCTTCTCCCAGCTTTGATGTTCTGAAGAGTTCTTCAGCCCCTATAATGACATTGCAGGGTCAATGAAGAGAAATTCTAGCATGCACATGCATGGGGAGAGGGAGCTATTCATTTTAAAAATATATAAGTATACCGGAAATGTAACATGCATGTAAAGCCTAAATCTATTTTTCAGTAAGTCAGGCCATCACGTCTTACTGTATACAGTTTTCTTATGCAAATCATATTTGATGAATCTGTTGCAAAGTTTCTCACATGGAGATCATGCCAGTTACAGAACTTCCTGTTGCAAGCTGACAACACTAAGCCACTGCCTTACAATTAGCAGTAGCCTTGTCAGCTTACTGTGTGCATTCTTTCACTTAGCTAATCGGGCTGTCTATTTCATAGACCTGATAAGATGTAAGGATCTATTTATAAACTATTTGCATAACAATTTGCTCTGTTAATCTCTGTGAACGTTTGTTCTGTGTGAAAAGAGGCAAAAACAAATGTCCGTAGTATCGTTTCTTTTCCGGTCGAACATAACGTAATACTGCATTATGTCCATTAGATGGAGCTGAGGAGCATAGGAAATAAGTATTTTTTGTAATGTAATACTGCATTATGGCCACTAGATGGAGCTGAGGTGTATAGCTAATAAGTAGATTGTAAGCTCTCACAGGCAGGGCCCCCCTAACCATCTTGTCTTGACTTGTATTGTTGCTGTAATGTCTTCCTTATATTATAAAGCAATGCAAAAACTGTTGGTGCTATATAAATCCTGTATAATAATAATTATTATGTTTATAATGTAATACTGCATTATGGCCACTAGATGGAGATGCGGGGCATAGGAAATAAGTATTTATTTCTATGCACCTCAGCTTCATCTAGTGGCCATAATGCAGTATTAGATTACATGACATTACATCAATCAATCTGAAAAGAATGTTTGATTTTGCCTTTATTCGCACAAAACAAACACTCACATAGATGCACAGGATGAATGGCACTGCAAATTATTTATAAATAGACCCCTTCCAAGTTCTGACAGGAAGTGAAAGGAAATCTCTTCGAAGACTAACCCTTCCCCCACTCACTCACTTAGGTTTTCAAACCTAAATAAAAAAAAGCTTTGGCTAGAATTGGGCTTTAATGCATTTATTTTTATCTTCATATAATGCTGTAAAAAAAAAAACTAGATCTTAACATAAAATGATGATTGCCCAGTTGGCACACAAAAAAAGTCCTAGAAGGAGTTAAAAATCTCAAAACCAAAAAAGGACTGTTATTGTCATCATAAGAGCAACAACAACAACCCACTGTGTATAAACCCTGAAATCATCTATGCCATCTTCTAAAGGTTGAGTTCTCTTTCTTTTTTCTACTACAATTGATTTATTTTGAGGTTTTCAAGGGAATTTTGAGCCTGCTGGGTATAGTCAGTTCAGGTTTTATTTCATCTTATTCCATGGATTGTCAGTCTCACACTCTCCCTAGAAAGCAAGCTGTCAGTCCATATGTTAGATCACACCTTCTGCTCCTGGCTCTCTCCACGCTGTGTTTGTGTTAAGGACGCCAATAATGATTTTCTCTTACAACTTTATGACTTTATTTGATGTATATTGTTTTGCTGAAGATGCAGTTTCTATAGAGTTCCGATATTAACTGATTGCATGCATTCATGGAAATAAAGTGAGGTATACACGGGTCTATTTGATTTCGTTCAACCCGCAGGCTAAACGGAAATAAAACAGATTCCTCCATCAATGCTTAGGAGTGTTGATGGACAAATCCCCTGTTTCCTTTGTATCCTGACAGTGGCCACTGTCTGCTGTCCGAATACCTGAAGGGAACTTCCAGCTGGTTGGCTGCAAGCTCTGTTCGGTTGAGAATGTTCCAAATGCTCCTTCGACTATCTGATTGAGGGACACCTAGTGGAGGGTTGCTGACGGAGTCATCCACTGTGCGAATTTCAGTCGGTTCAACTGAACCAGCCAAAACTCTCACCGTGTATATCCTTAGTGCTTGTTCACACCAAATGCAGACCATACCTGCATGAGTTTCTGCACACGCAGTGCAGTGTTTTTTGCCGCGTTCCGGGCCGTTTTTGTAAAAAAAATATATATACACAGTATATATTTTGTTAGTTTTAGGCCTCATTCATACTGGCGCGCATATACACACGTATATCCGCGTACCTGCGTATTGTACCATATGCAGCATATGCAAATAAATGGCTCCATACACATAGCTGCGTATGGAGCCGTATATTTGCGTAGCGTAAAAATGCGCAAAAACATAACGGAACCGAGATGCGTCCGGGCAGCGTATTTTATGGGCATATGCACATGTTTGTGCGCGTATACGCACATACGCGCGTACAGTTCATTAAAATTTCTATTACGAATGATGCATGCTGGGATTGCATATAGTGCACGCATATATGCGCGTATATATGCGCGTATATACGCCATATACAATTTTGCTCTTGCGTTGTGTGTGAATGAGTCATAAAATGGGCTTTCAGTGCGTTCCAGTGCGTTTGCATGCTTTTGTGATGCATTTGCATGCTTCCAGAGCGTTCCAGAGCAGGTAAAACACTGCGGTGTGAACTAGAGCTCAAAATACCATTGGAATACATGGGACGCAGTTTTGATCGGGCCTGTAACTGCTCTGCTCTGCTCTGCTCCTGGAACGCGCTTGGTGTGAACTTGCCCTAATTGAGGGTTGCAGTGCATTCGTTTGTCCAGTTATGAAAACCAGTCTGCTTGAGTTTTGCTCAGCAATTTCAATTGGTGCACAGATTTTCTTTTATATTCAAATCACAGTTTAACTACCTCCCGGCCAGCCGCTGTGTATACACGGCCTGCCGGGAGCTTCTTGGATGTAACTGGGCATGTATACACGTCCTGTTACATCTGCCCGCGGGAAGTCCGCGCTATTATTACATCACTTCCGCATTGTCGTGTCACTCTCCAGCTTCAGATGCCTAACCCTTAAAAATGAACCCTAACATCCCCCACCCTAACCCTCAGCCTAACCCTTAAAAATGAACCCTAACATCGCCCACCCAAGTCTTAACACTTAACCTTCCCTGAGATTTATCCCATAACCTTACCCTAACACCTACAACTAATTCCTAAAGGAGGGTTTAGCTGTCGTACTATCCAAAGGTTGTTCGTTGCTAGTCCGATCTGGTTTGGATACCGGGGGCGATGGGCTCACTATTACACATTTGGTGGTCGTGCCCAATGATCTCGCCCTTTTGGACGTCGGTCCACACCCTGATTAAAACCATAACCGGAGTTTCGATGGAATTCTCCCCAGCTAGCCTCCTATTACACCATTTTCGATGACACACTCCATGTTTCTAAAAAATCCCTCTCAATTCACCTACTGAATGGGGCAAAAACGGTGATTCCTAGACACTGGAAGTCGCCATCCCCACCAACGATTCGGGAGTGGCTCTCCCGAATAGATACAGTAGCGGCCTTTGAGGAACTTATCCACTCTGGCAGAGATGACATGTCCAAGTATCTTAAAACCTGGACGTTGTGGCATTTATTTCGAGATTCGGGCGCATGTAAGGATTTAAGACGGTAACACTACTCCTATCTGCCCTGTTCTATGCAGTGCCTTCCTCCTTTCCATCTCTCCCTACTTATGGGTCGGACGGGACCCCTTCCCACTCCTTGTCTTTTCCCCCCACCTTCCTCCCTTCCCCCTATTCTTTCATCTACCCACACTTCCAGACCTGCTTCCTCCTTTCTCACAACTGCCCCCCCTGATCTCCAAACCCTCCTGGCAATGACAGCTCTCTTTACTTTTATTTAGAACAGCCTTTCTCAACCTGGGTGCCGTGGCACCTGGCGTGCCTTCTGGCTTCCTCAGAGGTGCCTTGAAATAGGGCTCATGATGCAAAGAGGGAACTCTAATAAGTGGGGGAAGGGACTCTGATATGAAAGGGGGGCTCCTGATGTGAAGTGGGTTACTGATGTAAAGGGGAATCTGATATGTAAGGTGGGAAATCCATTATATCATTATAAATCTATTTTATTTACACTGGGTGCCTCAAGAGTTTGCATACTTTTAAAGGGTGCTGTGACTAAAAAAAAAGGTTGAGAAACGCTGATACAGAGAGAAGGCATATTGTTCCATGATGCTCTTTCACCTTCAAGAAGTGCCCAGAAAACATTTTTGTGATGTAATAAGCCTGGAATAAACTACATTGCGATTTGCTCTGAATCTTCTTGATAAGTTGACAGTGTCTGTGAAGCTTGTAGAATCAGCAAATTGCCATAC